CATAGATCATTGTTTCATTGGACATATAGTATGAAAAACCTTAAACCAATTGAAAAGGACAATATTATATTACAAACATCAAACCACATAAGACAAAAACTGTTTTTTCTATTGAATCTTCTTAAACATCAAACTTCTCTGATCACTACATAACAAATTTAGTCCATATTGAAATCTAACAACATAGGTCATTGTTTTATTGAATATGCAGTATGAAAAACCTTAAACCAATCGAAAAGAAACATATGACAATATTATATTACAAACATCAAACCACATAAGACAAAAATTATTTTTTCTGTTGAATCTTCTTAAACATCAACCTTCTCTGATCACTACATAACAAATTTAGGCCAACAAGCATTTGGTCTCTAGCAATATTTTATGAAATAAACTAATAGATTTCATCAATATCACGGAACTCAGAAAAGTATCTTTGACATGTCATGATAACTTCATTTACTTGGGGAATTCAAAGATTACATAACTTCCTTTTATAATTAAATATAAAGTGAGAAAGGTGGAGTTTGGTAACGAAAGAAAAACGTCATCGCACTCTATATATAAATCACCATAGGCGTCAATCTTGTAAAGACATGTATTTTATATAGAGAAATAGTGTTGTAGCTTTATTGCTTTGATATCTAACCATGCATGTTTCTGTGACATCCCGCTCGCTGTCAACATAAATAATTGGGCTCATGGTACGTCCCTCTTGGTATAATTGGACTCACCACATGTCTTCTTAATTCGAACCCAGTACTTCATCCTAAAAATTCTTTCCAAGAATGAAGTCATGCATTGGAATCAAAAGAGACGCGTTCTTAACCCACTATTTGAGGCGGATAAAAGATAAATAACCCAGTTATTTGAGACGGGTAAGAGACAACTCCACAAAATTTTGGTGGTAGGTTGGGGTATTACAGCTTCAATATTAAAAAATTATAAATGTAATTATGTATAATTGTGGGCAAAGGTTTTTAGCCTTGTTGATGCGTGTTTTTGCACCAACGAAACGCACGTGTGAAATGCCGTACGGACCCAGAAGACACACGTGAATGTAATGGATAAAGAGATAGTAAATGCAATAGAGACAGTTTTTAAAGTGGTTCGGATGCTAAGATAGCAAGTCCTACGTCCACTAATGCTTATATAAATGATAGAGGTCAGGTCGCTTTTAGCTAACTGACTTTACAATAATGTTACAAGGTATCTAATGCTGAGAATTCTAGGCAAAAGAGAGTAATTAATCAAGAGTAAAATATGCCAATCCCCTTTAATGAGAGATGAGCTCTCATTTTATAGTGGGATGCCTTGGGGTAATGATCACTAAATCTGTAAGTTGGTGGGATTATCCGTGCAAACCCTTCTTTATATCACATTGCCCATCTTCCAGAGTAATTTGTGCGATTTAGAGTAGGGATTGGACATGTGAGAGCACCTCAACTCTTGACTAGCCTAACACGTACCCATTATCCTGACGGACGCATGCGGCGGTTGTTCCAATGATCTGACTTTTGTGAGCTAGATGGACCTGACTTCAACCCTTGTATTTTTTAGGCATAAGAAGCCCCATCAAATTTGATCAGTATCCTATTGCTAATTACATATTTATTATATTAAAAAATATATATCTTTGAACCCCATATAATACTAAAATAGCCTTGCTTAATTGGGATTTTTGTTTTTCACTCATTTTCCTCAATTTCAAACTTAATCAGGGTTTTATCTACTCCAATTTTCCCTAATTTCTGAAATAGGTTTTTTGTTTAAACCCCTTTTTCATGGGTTATTATGTCATGGCCAAAGGGAGATTACTTTATTCAACGTCAAATTCCAGATTTGGAACTTTGAATTTGCAGTAGCAATTTCATGGATTCATTGGAATTGAATCATGAAATTGTCAACTCATAATTCTTGAAATCCACTATTATCTGACGAGCAATTGGTCTTCATTCTTCAAGCCATTTTGAATTTTTAACTCTTCAATTAATATTCAATTTTTCATAGTCTCAACTAGGCCGTGGTAAAAGGGGTTGTTACGTCCATATTCTAACTTGTGTAAGAACAAGAAGAAAGTTCATAAATATTTTAATCTTTGATCTTTTAGTTTAGGTTCAACGATTCACATTGCATGAAGAAAAAATTAAAGGGGTTTGAATCAACTTTAATTCTGACTCTTTACTAGGAGCACGAAAATTAGCTTTAACAACGAAAATGGTCACTGCATGCAACTGAATTGGGGGTTATTATCTCAATTCTAGTAATTTTTATTAAGGTTTAAATTGTCAAAACAGAAAATATTTGAAAGTGCGGGATACTAATCAATTTGATGGGGCTAAAAATCACTTCTCATATATAATAGCATAAGAAACTTGGTTAGCAAATTATCAATGTAAATCCAATGTTTATCATCATAAAACAAACAAGACATATAAAACCCATCTGCATTTTCATTATAACTATGGGGAAGATGAACCATAACATACAATTTATCGAAGGGAAATACAAAATATTGGCCTAGAGCTATGTACTATGTTTATCACTATGCATGTGGGTCAAGCTATGTACTATGCTTATCTACTTTATAAGCGCTTTTTTTTTTTTTTTTTTTTTTTTTTTTTTTTTTTTTTTGCGTTTAGTTTAAGAATGTTGTATTACTAGAAATATTATATTGAAAATATATTTACTTTAAAGATTATTGGAATATTCAGATTAATGGTTTTGTTAAGTTGGCATATATTGGTGGTATATTATATAGATTACTGAATTGCCCGTCTATTTTAATATTATGCACTTTTATAATTATTTTAGATTATTTTTAACCCTTACTTTTATTAATTTAGCTAACACCCACTATAAAAAAGTTTAAAAATTAACTAAAGCACTATAGCCACCCAAGAGGACAGTTGGCCGTGGCCACAACCGTTGACCTATAGTTAAAATTGTCAAACGATGCACTATCAGCGAGATTTATTTGATATAGCCTTTTTCGCCAGATCCATAGTGGATCTACGTTAAGAATTTAGTTGTTAACAATCGTTAGATTCTAACCGTTGATGACCAAATCTCTCGCCATCGTTAACGGCTAAAATCTGGTCATCAATATGGCCAGATCTATGGTAGATCTGCCATTTCAACTGGCCAACTAGCCATGTCCATTTCGACGATGTCGATTGGTAGTGGCCGCTAGAGGCAATGACGGTGGCCGGGGGTGGGGTCTTGGGTAGCCTATAATTTGTTTTAATTACATATTACCACATTATAATCAACAATATTACTACTGATTTTGAAAGGTTATCGAAATCTTATATGTTACTTGACAACTAAACGTGTTAATTTAATTAATATAAAATGACATTATCTTAATAAATAGGGGATAACACCCAACCAAATGCCCCTTTCGCGTTTTCTCATTTGACATAGTGGAAATGGAGCATACTTCACCTAATCTTCTAAAAGTAGTGAAGTCTTCTAGTCAATCAAAGTGATTTTGATGAAGATGAGAGCGTAGGGGACAAAGTTGATGGTAAAGGTAATAATGAAAGTGGTTGGCAATGTCATATATTGCTTTTCAAAAGACTTGCTTTAATATAATGAAAAAGTATACTCTGAAAGAGTGCTGGTAGATATACAAAGTTCGGATCCCAATTGATATGGTTATCAATGTGTTAACACTATATTAGTTCTAGGAAACATAATATCACACTATAAAATCCTACACTTAATGTGAAGCTGAGACACATTATTGGCCACATCAGTTGGATTCTAAAATTGAGATCCCAATTGATATGGTTATCAATGTGTTAACACTATATTAGTTCTAGGAAACATAATATCACACTATAAAATCCTACACTTAATGTGAAGCTGAGACACATTATCGGCCACATCAGTTGGATTCTAAAATTGAGATCCCAACTATATATATATTGTTTCTAGAATTATCGGCAATGTCGTATTATTGTTTCTAGAATTACCAATATTTATATATTGGCGTAGAGCTACTCATTGTTATGACTTCCAAGTACAAGTGTGAATGCATGGTGGTTGCAGCTATGTAATATGCTTAAGTTTTCAAGCATTTTTGTGTTTTCTCATTGGACCTAATTCATGGAGCAAACTAGCTTCACCTAATCTTCTACAAGAGGAATAAAGTCTTCTAATCAAGCAACAAAGTGATTTTGACGATGATGATCAAAGGAATCTCTATGAAAACTAAGAAAAACAAACTCACATAGTTGAAAGTGAGTTCTAAAGTAAAAATGTATCAGACCCAATTTTTCTTGGCTCGAGTTAAATATGAAATGGCATAAGCATAAAAAATTAACTCAAAAGAAGTGATAAATGAAACACCAGTGGAGCTAGATCCAATTTTAGGTAATTCTTTTCAGCCAGTATGCGAACACCAAATGCATGTATATCGGCTTATTGTGTGTTCAGGAAGATCCATTATAAATTGGATTGACCTCTTTTCTGCAGCATCCTCATTTTTTTAAGATCCTGTGATGTTTTGGGAAAAGTTTAGTAAAAACCTAAAAACAGAGAAGAAGACGAGAGAGAGAGAGCTGAATACTATGCTTTTCTTTTACTTATGCCTTTTCAGTTAATACAAAATAAGCTACTGTACACCTTTATATTGTTTGCATGAAAGTAGCAGTGTTCTAACTAATACTGTTACTTCTAACTAATATTGTTACATTGTAACTGAAAGTAAAACAGAATTGTAACTAATATTTAACAACTAACAGTATTCCAAATGACATTTTTACCCTTTTACTAACATCTTCCCTCAAACTAAACTTGGGAGAATCAATGTTGCTTCTTTACTAACAGATCCGAACTTGGACCTTTCACTAACAAGAGTTAATTCCTTGTGCAAGAGTAGATAAAAAATAAAAATATAAAAATATAAAAATATAAAAATAAAAAATAAAAATAAAATAAAAAAAATATCTATCTCTCAAGCTCTTATCAACTTTCACATGCAAAAAGCTGAGAGTTCAAACCATATAATATATGACACAAAAATAGTTTACACTGATACTTGGCTAAGCTCCTATTGTTATATAACTGCATTTACAGGTTTCAATCCTCAAAGATATAATTTCCATCTTCAAACATTATCGAGGGTCAAGTTCAGTAATTGAAGCCCCATTCAGCGAAAATAGAGCATCATTTTCACTGTAATCCAACATAGAAGATTCTGAATAATCCAGATCCGAGCTAGATTGCATAAAAAATGCAGGTTTTGAGGGTATTGGGAGAGACTGAGAGTGGCTAGTCAACATAAGAACAACCGAAGACATTGTAGGTCTATTGGCTACTTTTTCTTGTACACAAAGCAACCCAATGTGGATGCATCTTATCATTTCACCGCTAGAACAACCCCTCAGACTGGAGTCTATCATATTTAAAGCTGTCCCTCTAGTCCAGTTTCTCCATGCCTGCAAAGATTTAACAATGATTTTATGGCCATTGATACTAAGTTTCACCCATTAGGAGAATGAAATTATATTTAATGACTCAATAATTTTTTACTTACATAGGTTAGTAAATCTTGTGGTTCCTCTTCGTTAGGAAAACAACTATTTTGTTGACCACTAATGATTTCCAAGACTAACACACCGAAGCTAAAAACGTCAGACTTAGTTGAGAAGTGTCCATGTTTTATATACTCTGGAGCCATATATCCGCTGAAAATGGCCATTGTTGGGTTAGATTTTATTTAGCAAGGTCTACCTTATAATTCTTATATATACTTACAAGGTGCCAACAATTCTACTTGTATTGGCTTGAGTTTGATCCATTTCGAACAATCTTGCCATTCCAAAATCTGCAATTTTAGGAATCATATTAGCATCTAGAAGAATATTACTAACTTTGAGGTCACGGTGAATGACCCGTAACCTTGAATCTTCAAAAAGATAAAGCAATCCTCGTGTTATACCTCCAATGATTTTGTATCGTGTTTCCCAATCCAACGATGAGCGTTTTATGGGATCTACAAGTTAACAAAAGCCATAGGAAAGTATAGACAGTTTCTAGTCAAGAATAAGCTACAAGATTGTTAGAAACCAAACATAAAAGTAGTGCAACCTTACCAAATATGAAGTTGTCTAGACTTGAATTGGGCATTAACTCATAGATTAGAAGCCTTTCATTTCCTTTCATACAGAAACCTAGAAGTCTAACAAGATTCTTATGAAGAAGCTTTGCCACTAAAAGGACCTCATTTTTTAATTCTAATTCTCCTTGGCCAGAATTTCTTGACAATCTCTTAACAGCTACATCCTGTCCATCAAGAAGCCTACCCTGAAATTGAATTTGAGAAAAATGATTGCAACAACATTCAAGTTATTCAGAACTTACAATTTAACTGATTTTAGCTAACAATTGATATTCACTTTGGTTATGAATACTTGATATTAATACCTTATAGACAACACCGAATCCCCCTTGTCCCAGCTTACTATCAATCGAAAAGTCATTTGTTGCAGCTTTGATAGTGCTGAAGTCAAATTGCAAGGGATCCACATTATCAATTTCACAAGAACATAAAAAGATCAGAGTAAGAGATTAGAACTCAAAAAGAAAATTAGTTTCAGCTCATATAGCAGAGTAAATTGTGACAGCAGAAAGAGTATAATTAACCTTCTGCCTCCTCCTCACTTCCTATCGCCTGCTTTGTCTTCCTTCTTTGTAAAAGGACACAAATGAAGGCAACAAGGGCTAAAAAAATAACCACTACCGAAGGAACAATTATTATAACAATCCTAGATGTAAAGCCTCGTTTCTCTGCATGCACAAAGCAGAAAAATGTGTACATAGTCAACACATGATGACATTAATTGGAATATTTTGGGGTAAATCTTGATCTTATATGAACTTTTACTCGAACATAGCAACAACAAATAGGTGAATCATTACAATCCACCCCTCTTAGATCCGAGGGTCGCCTGTCGCCATCTATTGAAGTTTGAATCCTTTTGGTAGAAGAAGGTTTTCAACACCATCCCTAGTGGGTGCTAACCTTACAAGGTTTGCTTAAAGGGTGGTTATGTTTTGAATCTTCTGATATCAATTGAAAGACCACAAATGAGTAGAACTCATTCTTAAAAAGGGGATCGTAAAGGGAGGATTCTCACGTGGTTATTGCCCATATGCCAAGCCCATTCTCTTTAGCGGTATGGGACTCAATTAGAATCGTTACACATAGACATGACTTGGTTGGTTGTTGATAAAAAAGAAACATAATAAATAAAAAGATCTTGACCACAGGTAAATAAAAATGGACAGTAAATTCATATAAGGAGAGGATCCTGATGCAAAACATACTTTCTGGGATTATCTTTGGCGGAGAAGGTGGAAGAGATGGTGATGAAGCATCAAGAGAGTCTCTATAAAATGGACCTAAACCCCACATATAAATACAGCTAGGTCTCATAATGAGGCAACCTGTCTGCCCTTGATCATGATCCTCTCGGTAATATATAGATTGGCGTAGACAATCTTCACAATCACTTGGAGAAATATCTGGAGTACACTGCAGTAATGCATATATCTTCATAAAGTATGAAAAATTTTCGTCTCCAGTTGCAAACTTACGCCTAGGGTGATTGGACCCAGTAGAAGCATTTATCACCAAGCCCTCCATCAAACTCACCCAAGTCTCATTAAACTGCGCTGTATCTGTTGTATTAATGTTGTTCCCTTCACAACCGCCAGCAATAGGATCCGGCTCCATTATTCCAAAAATAGAACGGTTTGAATAGCGTACAATGCACTGAGGAGTCCCTCCCCATGCCACTGCTTCTTTCTGGTTCAAACACTGCCTCATAATATCTTTGGCTGAAGAACTGACACAATCAGCACACTCTTCTAACAAAGAGTCCCCTCTACAAAGAGCAAGAGCATAAACTTTGTCAGGCTCTTGGCCAATAGTTGCAGTATAAAAAAAACCATCACGTAGAGTTACATTAGAAGCAACAGATGAGAGGATCATGTTCCTGTTCTTCTCATAGGTGCTATTTGTTGTGAAATTCCCTGATTTGTAACATATAGTTGCTCTAGTAACACCAATGTTTATCATCATAAAACAAACAAGACATATAAAACCCATCTGCATTTTCATTATAACTTTGGGGAAGATGAACCATAAGAGACAATTTATCGACGGGATATACAAAATATTGGCCTAGAGCTATGTACTATGTTTATGTGTTGATGACACTTACCTATCACACATGTGAATTCACTATGCATGTGGGTCAAGGTATGTAATATGTTTATCTGTGAATTCACATACAATTTATGTGAATTCATAAATTCATTATGCATGTGGGTCAAGCTATGTACTATGTTTATCTATTTCGTAAGCATTTTTTGTTTTCTCATTTGACATAGTGGAAGTGGAGCATACTTCACCTAATCTTCTAGACGTAGTGAAGTCTTCTAGTCAAAAAAGTGATTTTGATAAAGATGAGAGCCGCGTGGGGGAACAGGTAAAGGTAATAGTGAAAGTAGTTGGCAATGTCTTATATGCTTTTCAAAAGGCTTGCTTTAATACAATGGAAAAGTATATTCTGAACGAGTGATGGTAAAGGAAATAATGAAAGTAGTTGGCAATGTCATATATGCTTGGCATTTTATCATATTATAAATAATTAATATGTTTGATCAAAAGAATAAAAGAAATATAGGAGAATCTTTTATTAAATTATACCTCATTTTTAATATAATAATAATTATTATTATTATTATTATTTAAATTATTATTTTAACCTCTTATATTTGATAATCTAGTTAAAACATTCGAGTTCCAAAAAATTTAAAACTTAATAAAATAACTTTAGCCATTCAAGACGACTATCGATCACCATCGACAGTCATCGAAACGATGCACAACCGACTGGATATGGCCGACCATGTGCCGATCTGGCTGTTTACAGCTAGATGGCCGTAAATTTGGCTAAAAATAATCAGATCTATTTTAGCTGTTTCTAGCTAGATTCAAGTATCTAGCTTTTTTCAGTCAGATCCATAGCCATTAACGGCTAGAATAGATTTGGCTATTACTTGCTAGATCCATTGCCAACTGGATATTTCTGGCCCTATCAGTGATCATGCGTCAACCAGATTTGATTGGTCATGCATCGTTCTGCCGACTATTGACAGTCGTCTAGGTTGCTGGGTGTTATGTAAATAGTTTTCATTATAAGGGGATTATTGTCTAAAAAATTTATTACTTAAGGATAAAATTGTAACAAAATTAAGATTAATTTATGTAAAATGAGGGTTATTTATGTCCCAAAAAATAATTTATTAGTGTATAGAAGTAATTTCAATCAGTTGGTCTATTTGTTATTTGGTTGACATATGAGGACATTTCTGTCCTAAATTAAGGGTAAAATGGGGCAAAATTAGGATTACCCCAGTAATAAAAAAGTAATACCTTTCAGTCGATATTTGAATTGCCCTCAAGTTTACCTACAATAACTATTATTAATATTTGAAGATTATAGGAATCTTTTTTTATTTTATAACCAAGCATGGTAATTCTCGAGTTAAAAGATAGATAACTAGAGTAATCTTTTATATGAACCCAAACCAAACCCACCCACATAGTATTGAGTAATACTAGCCTTACAAAGAGGCATATAAAGAGTCAAATCCAGCCCTTGAAATTCATGATTGTCTCTTTCTTTCTCTCTTTTTTCCTTTTTTCAATGGCTGGATTTGACTCTTTGTATGACTTTTTGTATGTCTTTTTATAAGACTAGTATTACTCTATAGTATTATGGTTTCTGAATTTAGCCCAATATTTATATATTGGCATAGAGTTTCTCATTGTCATGACTTCCAAGTACAAATGTGAATGCATGGTGGTCGTGGCTATGTAATATGTTTAATTTTCAAGCATTTTTGTGTTTTTCAAATTGAACCTAATTCATGGAGCAAGCTAGCCTCACCTAATCTTCTATAAAAGGACTGAAGTCTTCTAATCAATCAACAAAGTGATTTTGACGATGATGATCAAAGTGATCTCATTCAAAACTAAGAAAAACGAACTCAACATAGTTAAAAGTGAGTTCTATAGGAAAAATGTATCAGACTCAATTTTTCTTGGCTCGAGTTAAATATGAAATAGCAAAAGCGAAGGAAATTAACTCAAAATAAGTGATAAATGAAACACCAGTGGAGCTAATTGATCCAACTTTAGGTAAGTCTTTTCAGCCAGTATGTGAACACCAGATGCATCTACAGGTTTCAATACTCAAAGATACAACTTCAATCTTCAAACATTATCGAGGGTCAAGTTCAGTTATTGCAGCCTCATTCAACGAAAATTGAGAATAATTTTCACTGCAATCCAACACAGAAGATTCTGAATAATCCAGCTCCGAGCTAGATTGCATAAAAAATGCAGGTTTTGAGGGTATTGGGAGAGACTGAGAATAGCTAGTCAGCATAAGAACAACTGAAACCATTGTAGGTCTATCGGCTACATTTTCTTGAACACAAGACAACCCAGCTAGAACAACCCCTCAGACTGGATCTATCAGATTTAAAGCTGACGCTCTAGTCCAGTTTCTCCATGCCTGCAAAAATTTGACAATGATTTAATGGTCATTGATACTGAGTTTAATGACTTACAATGTTTCACTTACATAGGCTAGTAAATCTTGCGGTTCCTCTTCATTAGGAAAACAACTATTTTAACAACTATTTTGTTGACCACTAATGATTTCCAAGACTAACACACCGAAGCTGAAAACGTCAGACTTAGTTGAGAAGTGTCCATGCTTTATATACTCTAGAGCCATATACCGGCTGAAAATAGCCATTAATGGGTTAGATTTGATTTAGCAAGGTCTACGTTATAATTCTTATATATATTTACAAGGTCCCAACAACTCTCCTTGTATTGGCTTGAGTTTGATCCATTTCGAACAATCTTGCCATTCCAAAATCTGCAATTTTAGGAATCATATTAGCATCTAGAAGAATATTACTAACTTTGAGGTCACGGTGAATGACCCGTAACCTTGAATCTTCATAAAGATAAAGCAATCCTCGTGCTATACCTCCAATGATTTTGTATCGTGTTTCCCAATCCAACGATGAGCGTTTTATGGGATCTACAAGTTAACAAAAGCCATAGGAAAGTATAGACAGTTTCTAGTCAAGAACAAGGTACAAGGTTGTTAGAAACCAAAGCAAAAAGCATGCAACCATACCAAATATGAAGCTGTCTAGACATGAATTGGGCACCAACTCATAGATTAGAAGCCTTTCATTTCCTTTCATACAGAAACCTAGGAATCTAACAAGATTCCTATGATGAAGCTTTGCCACTAAAAGGACCTCCTTTTTTAATTCTAATTCTCCTTGCCCAGAATTTCTTGACAATCTCTTAACAGCCATATCCTATCCATCAGCAAGCCTACTCTGAAATTGAATTTGAGAAAAATGATTGTAACAGCATTTACGTTAATTCGGAAATTACAATTTAACCCATTTTAACTAACAATTGATTTTCATTTTGGTTATGAATACTTGATATTAATACCTTGTAAACAACACCGAATCACCCTTGACCCAGCTTACTATCAATCGAAAAGTTATTTGTTGCAGCTCTGATAGTGCTGAAGTCAGATAGCAAGAATTGCACATTATCAATTTCACAAGAACCTTAAAAGATCAGAGTAAGAGATTAGAACTCAAAAAGAAAATTAGTTTCAGCTCATATAGCAGAGTAAATTGTGGCAGCAGAAAGGGTATAATTACCTTCTGCCTCCTGCTCACTTCCAATCCCCTGGTTTGTCTTCCGACTTTGTAAAATGACACAAGTGAAGGCAACAAGTGCAATAAAAATAACTACTACCGAGGGAAAAATGGTTATAACAATCCTAGATGTAAAACCTTTTTTCTCTGCATGCACAAACCAGAAAAATGTGTACATGGTCAACTCATGATGGCACTGAAATCTATTGGGGTAATACAAAACTAAAGAACATGATTGTAACAATGATGATTCTTTGCTAGGAAACAAAAAGAATTGTATTCAAACTATAGAAGATACAAAAAGATTGACAAGCTAACCATAGAAGTAGATGTAGCTTCCCGTATAGGCCTGAGAGAGGTCATTCACTATGCAAAAAGCATTATAACAGTGATTACAGTATTAATTTCCGACATACGGAAGAATTTGATCAAGTAATCATGCATATGTCCTGCTATTTATTTGCACTAACTCACCCTATGATTAGATTAATAAATAACTTAAATGGGATAGGTGCATCATGTCTATATATATATTTAACAATATCAAAGTGAAAAGTTATGGTCACTTTGGATATCTAAAATGCTTAATATAAAGAAAAAAAAAATCCTGCGTGCATCAGCAGTACACGTGGCTCATGCAGGCTCCCACATTGGTCAGATGCATATGAATCCGACAATCATAGAAGTGGCAAATGCAAATGCTTACCAATTTTACTTGTCGAGGTAGCTGGCGGCGGAGGTGGATGAGAGGCCATAGAGTAAAAAGGGTAAATTTCAAACCTGATATTGCAACTAGGCTTAGAAATTCTACCTCCTTCCTTCCCATTACAGTATTTACGAATCTCACTCACACAAGCAGCCAAGCAACTGCAGCACTCAGATGAAACAATGTCAGGAGTGCATTGCACCAGCCCATATAGCCTAGTAACAGTTGTGAAATTCACATCTTCAGCAGCGAAAAAGTTGCTAGATGACACAGCCTCATGAGCCAAACTGTTCATCAAATCAGCCAAAGTCTGATTAAACTGACTGGGATGTATAACGTTGTTCTGGTTCCCCAAATAAACACGAGTATCCTCTTCCATATCAGAGAAAATAGACCTGTTTGAGTACCTTAACATGCACTCTTCATACCATATAATTGCTTCTTTCTGTTTAGGACAAAGGTTTTTGATTTTTTTACTAGCGACCTTGACACAAATTTGGCATAGATCAGGAGAGATGTCTCGTCTACAAAGAAAGAGGCCATAGGCTCTATCAGGGCCCTGCAGGCCCCCGGTGCTGGTATTGTAAAATCCATTGCTAAGGGGGGCATTTGAGATCAGAGAAGAGAGAGTTTCATTGAGGTTTGTTGAGAAGGCACTATTTGGAGTGAAAAAAGTGGTGTTTACGCAACTGTGGTAGCGGTATGCGGTTTCCTGGACTGTGATATTGGGAGAAATAATGAGCATAACAATGGCTGAAACGATGAATTTTATCCAAAGAGAAGAAGCCATCATGCTTTCTAGTTCTAATACAATTTCAATGGCAAGTAAAGTAACAACATCACAAGGCTAACTTGACTCCCATGGTGAGCAATCCAGTTAGGCAAATGAGTTGTCAAGAGAACTTATACAATGAAAAAGAAAAGAATGCCTTATATATATGTTCCCTACTTTTTTATGAAACATTACAGAAGAAGACAGAAACTCCTTCCTCTCTCAAACATTCTCTTTCATCTCACATAACTATTTCTGCCCCGAATAATTTCAACATGAAACGAAAATCTTCATCACACATGTTACAAAGCAGAATGATTATTAGCGAAATCTTGCCAAGCTCTTCGAGAAGAAAATGAGTACCGACTCTAGGTGCTTTCTTGATAATTTTTGGTTTGGGTATCTACCTCTTCTCCTATTCTAAAGTGAGAATAAGAAATTATAGCCATAGATTCGGATGCTTGAATAATATTTATCATTCCATACAACTGCTTTTTTGGCTTCAGAACTTTTACAATTAGCACACTTTTGAAGAATCTCCTCCAAGCACAAGAGTCTAAAAAAAAAAAAAAAAATCATGTAGAGTGACATTAGAAGCAAGAGATGAGAGGATCAGATTCCTGTTCTTCTCATAGGAGCTTAGTTGTGAAATTCCCTGTGTCATAACATATAGTTAATTATAAACGCCATTGTTTATTAGCACAAAGAAACCAAATAAAGCAAAGATTTAAAACCCTTTTCAGGGTTATGCATTTACATGAGCTTGGGGAAGATGAAGAAAGAGAACACAACTGTGAAAGGAAAAAGAAAAAGAGAGAAAGAGAAAGACAAGGAAGAGATGAAAATTATTGCAAATGAGGGATAAAAGTTGTTCACGCTTGATTTTGAACATCAACGACTCGTACGTGCAAAGTATTAAGAGAGTCTTAGAAATTATACGTGATAGATCCATGAGATTTGAATATAGAACTAAGATTATATATGTTGTAGAAAACATAAATAATAGACTGATAAGAGAGGTTTTTATAGTGGTTCGGATGCTTAAAGCAAATCCTACATCCACTGTTATTTTATTGATCTCTGACTATTTCTATGATTTTGCCTATAAGACATACAAAGATGAAGAAATACAGTGTTTACAGAGAGAAAGAATTGAGCTCAAATTTATGCCTAACTCTCATATGTCCAGCCCCTTTTTTTGTGAAGAGAAGTGTCAATTTATACACTTTTGAGATCAATGTAATGAGTGTTTTACAAGTTACCTTGACACATGAAAGACTCCTGTCTATTCATCTCTTGAAATGAGATAGGATTGATATAAATATCTTTGAGAAGGTATGAGTTTGACATCTAATACAAAAAGACATTTATTAAACTGACATGCATAACAAAAGTCTAGACAAAACTAGACTGCGTCCCTATCATTTTCTTGTTTTCTTCAAATTTTCCTTACACAGCATCATTCTAAAATTGAATCTCAGTTTGCCAAGTGCACAGATTCTTCGTTGCAGATATAGTAGCATTTCTCTAACTAATCTTCCAAAAGTAATAAAGTATATACAGTAAATGCCCAAAGCCCATTACTGGAGAAAGCAAGTGCAGTCATTATCATCATGTCACTAAAGCAAACAATTAACAAGACATGTCAACAAACTTATCACTTGGACATTTCAATGGGTCTTCTCTTTGATTACACTTGATTCTGTATTAGCTAGCTTGCTTCCTATCACAAAGTGATTTTTATTGAAACAAGGACTTCAGCATTTAGTATTCAAAGACTCAGTTGTATCTCAGTTGATTTACTATTCATAACCTGTGCTGTTTAAATGCAGTGATGCTCCAAGTTTTAATATAAGATATCAAGTCTACATTTTCATTATCTCAAAACCTGCATGTTTTGTGGTATAAAATACCAAACTTGCAATGTTGAATGTAATATTTTTAACGACAGACTTATAATATAAAATGTCACAGTTGTAATTCAGTAAAAGCTTAAATTCAAATATAGCAAAGTTTCATAACCAACAAACAATCACTTGTTGAGCAACCAAAGAACCATTTTCCCAGATTAATGTTCAGAATATAAACCTTACCTTCAAAGAACAAGTACTAGATTTACATTGAAGTAGCCAAACAATTTGCGACAAAAAAAATTGCATGATAAGGAAGAGAGGCTCATATAAACAACAATGATTGAATTCACTTCCGTGCTTCCTGGGTATACTAACTTGCAAGAAAGAGTAATGCAGAAGAGAAAACTTCTGCAAAGACAAGGATTATAGAGAAACAATTGATGAAAAGGACGGACCACACTGTGGACAACACTCGGAGATACCTTCAACAAACTTGTTAAAGTCAAGCCTGAAACCTGTACCATTGGGCTGCTCCATCTAAATGAGCACTCCATTGAGGAGCCATACTATCCAGTTCCTGACCAACGATCATATTACTTGCTCTCTGTATGACTTGAAAGCTCGTCAGCAAGCATATTCTTTCTCTTCATCTTCAAAACTTTCTCAAAGCCACAGTGTGATCGTACTAACATGCAGTCCAGCCCAATTGTTAGTCCTAAGTCCTTGACAAGTGCAAAACGTGGTCTGATTCTCTGTTCCAAACTGTAACTAAAATACTGAGGGAACTTAACTAGCTCAGATTTTGAATAACCCATGGTCAAAAAGAACTCCCATTTGGGTATCAAGCTCCCCGTCAAGCTAAGAGCATATAAATTAGGCAATCTTGACACCATGGTCCCAATATCTTCCACACTGAACCCCCTTTCATAGAAAAATTTGGTCACAGGCTTGAGATTGCCCTCAATACTAAGCCAAAGACTCGCTGGAAATCTGTGGACAACGATGGCAACATTAACCCCCAAACTTTTGAAGTACTCGGCTGTTGGCCGGAGATTGTCTTCCACACTGTAACTTACAGTTCTTGGATACCGAGTTAAGACCCTACCGATGCTATCACCTGATAAGCCCAACTCAAGAAGGAAATTAACAACTGCCTGAACCTTCTGCCTGCTGAGACTGAGGAGTCCTGGGCTGCGGAATATAACTTTTGCCCACTGTTTCTTGTCCACCCCCATATCTTCTAAGTATAACATGATGGGTATTATTTTACCAGATATACTACGTCCACATAAATGAGGCCTTTGGACAAGAATTTTAGGAATCTCTGATTTAGCTACCCCAAGATCAAGAAGAAACTCTACTAGAGGTTTGATTTTCCTCTCCGAGCTGTAGTTGGCAAAACTAGGATATTTGCGAGTAGCTAACTTGATCTGCTCAAGATCCATGCCAAGCTCTAAGAGGTAGCTAAGTTGAGGGCATGGATCTGCTGCTTGACTTGGGGCACTTACATGAGAGACTGCTTCTGGCTTTTTAGAGTCAAGGCTGGAATGGGATTGACAAACTGGTAAAGCTGGCTTTTCTTCTATAGGTGCTTTACTAAAGTTCTTCGCTAAATCTGCCATAAAGTTTCCATGCTCTTTAAGGAGTGATTGAAGATAAGGATTAAGGGTGTCTCTAATCTCAAGAGTTGTGAGCTCTCTTCCTGCAATAACAAGTAAAACTGATTAGCATGGGAACAAAGACATCTAGATAAAAGTACCAAAAAAGAAAAACTACATGTTGCAACCGGACCTATAAGATACCTAGATTTATTAGAAGAATGAAGCCTTGAGATAAGGTGGTCGATGAAATGATCTGATTTATTGACAGTTCGTGCAGCCACTGCTTTGCTCAGACCTTGCTGCATCAAGAACAAGGTTAACACAGACTTGGCTTCTTTTTTTTCAGCTGCTACTAGCGATGGAGGTTCTACTCTTGAATTGAATGATTCATTTGCACGAGAATCAGCTGTTCTTACATCAAAACATCATCATGTTAATACCACAAAGAGGAAAGAAACATGTTAATATCCGTAATTTAGCTTTTGTAAGGAGGTCGAAATACTACTAGAAAAACCGATTCCTTGGCAAGAGAACACTTCCTCAGGAGAAGTAAGTCGAGTCCTGCGAAAGAACAAAATAAAATTATCAATGCTCTATCCCTCATAGATACAGAACAGAAAATAAAGTCTATACAAGAAAAAAAGTATACGAGATTTCGATATTCTGTTCGACTAATCTTCTAAAATGAAACTCAAAATTGTGATAAGAAGAAATCACAAATTCACCACACACTCACAACATATAACATAGTAAATGCTTTTTCTCCTTAACTTTCCACTTCAAATCTCCTAAAATTTAACAATACGCCTTCATAGCAATAGTATGAAAATAAAAATTAATGCTTTTTGGATGCCAAAAAATAATAATAATAATAATAATTAATTGAAAAAAAAATACCTATTGATGTAGAAAGCTCCTCTCAAGAGAGATGAAAGGTCAGAAGAGCAGCTTCCAGAAAGGATCTTCATTGCCATCTTCAAGAACCCAAACCGAAACATAAATAAAAATCTTGTTACAGCTTCAGAATTAAAACTTGCAAACAAAAAACACATAAAGAACTCATTTTGATCCCAGTAATCTCCATTAAAACTAAATAAAAAAACAAACCCACATAGATGATAGTGAGTTGCAAAGGAAAAATGAATCGAACCCAATTTTTCTTGGCTCAAACAAAACTCCAAGCTACTGTGCATACAAATTTATAAGTAAAATACCAAAAAATGAAAGGAAAATAAGAATGCAAATCTTACTTACACAGGAACAAGTTGATTAGCTACTGGGTTCTGTAGTTCCTCTGCTTGTCAGTTCCTCCGAGTAAGTAGCGTCTCTCTCTCTCTCTCTCTCTTTATTTAAATTTTGTGTGTTTTGAAGAACAGCCACATTTTCGGGGGATATTATAAAATAACCACTGCAAAAAGATTTTGCTGTATATAACCCCAATTTTAGTGGATTGACAAAAATACCCTTTCTTAACTCTGTCTTCGCTGGCAAGAACGCCCGACAAACGACAATTTTTGATGATATGTCGATCACGACAAAATCAAATATATTTTAGATATATATT